GTAGCCTGCCGAAGGTCACCGAATCTTTCCGAACGGCAGCGCAAATAAACGAACGTTTTTGCGTACCTGACATATTGCACTTCGAATTCTAAAACTACTTTGATTATTTTTCTAAACTACGAGAAAATTGTGACTTTATTTCTTCCCTTTGATAAACTTCACTAAATTGTGCATTCACGATCGATACACTACAAGAAAATAGGAATAGAATGCGACAGAAACGGAATGTAAGCAAGACGAACTTTGGTTACGAACTGGTCAGTCGGCGAGTGGGCAGTTAGGCCCAAGAGGGAGTGAAGAATGGTAGGGAGAGGGTTGAAGCAGACTCGGATTTCGAAAACTATTTTCTCATCAACTATAACAAAATTGAGAAAGTCGAAGAAGTGTAGAAATAATATTAGAAATATATTTGTTTTTTTAAAATAATAATTTATATACTTATTTTTAATATTCTAAGAATAAAAATTTATTATTTAATTATTATACATATTTTGATTTTTTATTTCTTGGTGATTCCTATTATACTATTCTAAACATTTACTTATGTAATTTTATCTTCAAAATATTCAAAATATATTTGAAATTTATAAACTTTGAAAATAAGAAGAAAAAAATGAATTGTGTTACAAAGATAAAAAAAATATATTAAAAATAATGTGTTTCTTAATTTTTTTATAATAATAAAAAAATTCTTTCACTTGTCCAATAGATAGTTAATGAAAACCTGGAGAATCGTGAATACTAGATGCAGCCCTGAGTCAGAGTCAGACGGGGAGAAGGAAGAAAGTAAGAAAAGCAGGTAAAGAGAGAGAAAGAGTCCTGTTCCGCGTGCACGCGTACATAAATGTTTGAGCGCACTTTTTCTATGCAACTCGTTTGTGATCGGATGAAAACAGGTAGGACCATCGATAGACCATGCATAATGAGAATGCGGTTGCGACATGTTTTTCTTTTTTCAGATAAATTATAGAACTAGCATATATCCACCTACGTGTCATTGCGAGCCAAGGAACAGCTGACTCGAGTAGTCTTTCCTATTACAGCGTGATTGAGAGATTCAATACTTTTAACATTCTCGAATCGTTGTAACAGATTTTGCAAGATTTTTAATGAATTAACGCGATTGCTTAAAAAAAAAATTGACACTTGTTTACAATTTATGAAATATATTTATTTATTTATATTTTATTCATTAACAATATTTGTATATTTTATTTTTTTAATAATGTCACTGATTAAAAAAATTGCAATAAAATTCTAAATTTTAAATCAAAAGATTTTAACTTTCTTTTTTTTTCAAGAAAGAAAAAACTTTTTCAAATGAAATTTTCTTTCTCAATATAATAAAAAATATACGCTTCACTTCTAATACATCTCTTTGATTGCAATTTTCCATTAACCAATACAAAAATCATTTCAGACCTCACTTTATAAATTTTTCCAGGAGGAAAGGAATTAAAAGAAGCCGATTAAAAGAAGCTAATCGAGCTAATAGCATTTTAATCATCGGATATATATATATATATAAAGTACCGTTCATAACAAAATATTTCTCAGGATCCCAGATATCAGTGTCGTTGGAATGTTATCGATACGAATGGTCGTTCTTGATCTTGTCCCGAACAAGATCGTTCTCCAGTACGGCCGGAAAGCCGATTGTCCTAGAAAACGAGATTCTACCGGTCGGCGCCTGGCCCGCAGTTGTGCAATTGCCTTCTTAACGACTTCGACGTCGACCTTCTCGCGTATAGCTTCACCACTTTTTTGTACAAGTTTACTTTTTCCCGATATCCTTTACTTCGTCCACGTCTTAATTGTCGAACGGAAACGGGCGACAACCAATTGCTAACCGTTCGTCGCTATACCTCGTAATTTATTAACGTGTAATTATTGAAAATAACTGAGTATCAGTCTCGGTAACCGTTTACATTGGTCATTACGGTCAAGAATACTATTAGAGGAATAGTACGGTGAATTTGTTAATTTTTTTTTCTTTTTTATTCGATAATTCGAGTATCACACTTCTTTCTCTCTTTTTATAAAATAAAGATGAATTTTTTCAACAATAACGTATGGAACGTGTTCATATCCAACGACTCGTTTCTGATAGATTGCCTATTATGAGAAGCAACGGAGAAAGGAAATACGTAACGAAAGAAAAAGAAAAGGAAAGAAGCAACGGGAATGTTCGCTTCACGGGAAGCAACGAGTGAACTCGAATCCTGTGTCGTGATAACGTCTCATCGATTTATTAACTCGGTTACCTTAGAAACCCGGTTCGTCAGCCCTCGGTTAGGTCTGGCGGATATGGATAACCGTTATCACGATGCACGAATATAATCGATATATATATAATATCCTTACCGTCTGAGAATATTCGAACCAAAGTTTCGAATCGATCTTCTTCCTGCACGACATTTTTTTTTCTCTCGATTATTCTCTTCTCTTCTCTCGCTCTTCAATATCACTCTTTCTTCTTTCTATTATTATATTCCTCATTTTCTCACCGACGTTTCGATCGATCATCCCATGATACTCGAAATTATTCGATAATTCGATAATTTAATTCGAGTAAGGACAGGCTAGGATCGGGAGGAGGATATAAGGATATTTTTCTCTTCTCATCGGGAACGAATTTTTGCCGAGAGATGCTTCTGGGTCTGATTCATCGAAATCCTGCGGTTTCGCATTCCTCCTCGTTGAGGTAATTTCCCTCATGCGTTTCTGCCTATCCCGCGATCATCTTTATATTCACGCGAGAAATATTTACGTTTGAATTATCGGCGGACGACGGCGACAGTTGTCAAACGAGTATAACGTGGAATGTGTTTTCAAACGAGGGTAAAGAAAATTCTTACGATTTATATATAAATCCGTCGATCCAAAATTAGAATTTATTCCGTTACTTTTTCATCGTTTTTTCCTCTTTATTCCACACACAGTTTCTTATATTTTTATTTCTTGTTTTCCTCGATGGAAAATTTCTCAAAAATTTCTTTATTGATTTTTCTTCGATCGATCATCGATTAAAGTTTCCACTTTCACAGATCGGAATGGAATTTATCTTGAAACGCAATGGAATTTATTTGATTTATATTTTTTCCTTTTTTCTTCTTCTTATAACACCAATCCATTGATAATTTCTTTCTACACGTGTCTCCGTCCACTCAATGAAGAAAAGAAAAAAAAAGAAGAAACTCTTTTACGTTCGATAAATGTACTCGTAATAACAGCTGATCACGTTATTCGTGTCATCATTCGTTTATTATCAACTTAACAATCACGTACACGTTTAAATTCCAAGTTCGAATAAATTTAAAAATCAATAATTTTAAAAAAGAGAAAAAAATCACATGTGTAAGAAAAAGATGAGAAATAATAAAAAAAAGATGGAGAGAGAGAGAGAGAGAGAGAGAGAGAGAGAGAGAGAGAGAGAGAGAGAGAGAGAGAGA